TAGAACATTGACACTGCTTCCTGTGTCAACCAGGACCCTGGCCACATCAGCTCCATTGATGTCCATTGTAATAACCAAAGGGTCATTATGATCTCCCCCCGTCCTGGGCAGATCCCTATCAGTGAAAGTGATAGGTTCCCTCCTTGCCTGCTTCCCATGTGACTCCAGGGAAACCACCGCCACGTGCAAACTCCTGGCCTAGTTCTTCCGCTGGGAGGCAGTATTCCCGCCTTCCGGGCCGCCGACAATCATCTGTATAAATTCTTTATCCGGATTGTTGTTATCCTTCCCGGATTTTCTCCTTCCCGGGTCCAGGTGTTCGCTTTCGGGTCTTTCTTATTACCCGTCGCGTAACCTTCCCCAAGCTCTCCTTTCAAGGCCATCTCCTTGAGCACAGCCTTGACATTTCGGCAATCCGCCGTGTTGTGGGAATCAGATTGGTGGTATGTGCACCACTTCTCCGTCCATTGTCTCTTGGGTTGCTCTCCCTTCTTATCATCCCTTATTTGGTGGATGGATCCGTCATATGTGGCCTTTAGTTTGGACCCTCCTGTCTGCTCATCCTTCTTCGGCTTGTCGGATTTTGACTTTGTGTAGCCTTCTTCCAGCTCCTGCTTATTCTTGTTCAGCACTTCTGCCTCGGCATATTCCCATGCCGTATTGTAGGCTTCCTGATAAGAGGAGGGCGGCCTCCTACAAAATTCAGTGTAGAGGTCACCTGACCGGAAGGCATTCATCAACAAAGACATGGCCGTCTTATCGTCCATCTCTTCTACCTTGTCAACCTCGTCCCTCCAGCGGGTTAAGAATTGAGTCAAGGTCTCCTTCTCCCTCTGTCCTACCGTGTTAAGGTAGGTAAATTTCTTCCTCTTGATGCAGTTGTCCTGGTACTTCTTGCGGAAAACTTCAGCAAGTTTCTCAAAGGACCCAATCCTGCCATGGGGAAGGCCATTAAACCATTCCACTGGCCTCCCTCTCAAGGATGAGAAGAAGAGCAGACATTCCTCAGCATCAGTGCACCCGGCCATCTGTGCTGCATTGTGGAAGGTGTCAAGGTGGACGTTTGGATCCTCCTTTCCAGTGAATTTTTCCACGTCCAGCTTGACCTTACGCCTCAATTTTTGTGCATGTACCCTGGCCAAAAAGGGTGATTTGGCCAGGGTGTGCTTCTTTGTTCCCGCCTTCTCATCCACCTTTTCTTCCAGGGCACGTAGCTTTCTTGCTACGCTTCCTATCTTGTCCAGGTCATCCTCATCGTATGAGAGCCTGGTGTATGCCGACGCCCTCGGCTGGCTTTCTGCTTCCTCCTCGTCTTGGTGAATCGTCTCAGATTCCCTAGAACGACGAGATTGGGCGTGACGATACCCGCCAAGTCTTTCCATTGCGCTAGTCCGGCCCATCTCAGGACCAAGACGTAGCTTGGCAGACTTGCGGGGTCCATCCTCTTTGCCCCCTAGGCGTTTGAATGTCGAATCTCGAGTCTTGCTGGGTTCGACTATAGCCTTACCCTTCTTCCTGCGGGCCGCCTCCTGCTCCGCCTCATTGATATCATGGACATTTGAGGGCGCTGCTTCATTCAAAGTCCCCGTCAAATTCACCGGATGTATAGGGACCATCCTAGGGACAAATGTCGACGAGGTCGACACCGGAGGTGGCATGATTGGTGGCGTCATCCCAGGATAGGCAAATGGCATGAAGCCACCTGCCTGTTGCATCATGGCCATCACCTGTTGATAGCCCTGTAGAGCCTGAGCATTTGCCGGGTCAGCAGCAAACAGAGCCCAAGCTGACGGGTATGGTGTGAATGCTCCACCAGGTGTTGTTATCGAGCCTGGAAACATTGTTGTCGTCGGCGTAGGAGTTGGGGTTGACATGATTGGGATCATGCCAATTGATCCTACAGTAGTGATCGGAGCAAAGGTCGTCCCCATGCTCGACATCATCAATGGGATGGCAGGAGTGCTTTCACTCGCAGCCTGGCTTGACACAGCGTTGTAGTTGCTCGAAGACATGATTGTGGATATTTAGTGGGGGT